GGAGGAGAGAGACAAGAGAAACATGTATGTAAAAAAAAGGAACCTTGAATCTCAAGAAATCATAAAACACCAATCTTTCAACAGAGAATAATTTGACCGTCAGAGTGCTAATTTCGGCACCACCGTTTGGAGTTTTATTTCTATTTCAAGTGACAACTGTGAAGATCCTACAAGAGCTTGTTTGGTGAGAAGGAGTATTCCGTAACCACTTCCTCAGAGGAATGGATTTATAAAGAAAAAAAAAAAAGGTGTAAAATATAGGTGAAATATAATTATCACATTTCACTTATATTTTTCTTTTCTCTTTTATTTTTTATTTTTTATTACAAATCCATAGACTAATACAGTCTAAGTGTATTGTATGTTTTAAAAATGTTGTAATTGATAGAAGGGATAGAACTCACGATTTTATATTGTGTCACGTGAAAATAACAAGAAATATAGTGTTTGATGATTGATAATAGTATTTGGTGATTAATGAGAGGTTACTAAATGGTGCTTTAGACTAGAGTTGTTTTGGGTATGATTTTTAAGTTGATTTTTTTTATTTATTATAAAAAAATGTGCAGAAAACTAAAAATATAATATAATCTATATACGCTAATAAACTAATAATTTGGTGTTGCCAAATAAATTTTCTATAATTACAACCATTATATATTGGGTTAAGTGTATTTTATGTTGGACATCTTAACTTGAGAAAGTGTTTGGATTCTATAAGCTCATTTTGAGACTGACTTCGGTGATTTGAACTATTCACCTTTAGGACTTGTTGAGTAAAATATTTATATAAAAAACTAAAATGATTAATTATCAGTAACTATAAGTTTAAATCAAATTTGTATTATAAAAAATAGATGATTATTCTTAAAATTATATTTGCAATGTCTAATTATCTTAATCTTTTATATAAATATTTTTCTTAATAAATTCTAAAAAATAAATAGTTTCAATTATCAAAATTAATTTAAAAAAATAAACTTATTAAATCTAAATTCTCTCTCAAATTAGGATGGTAGACTAAGAAAAGTAAAACCCTTATATATTTGTGAGTTTGATTGGATAGAAAGTCAGGGGCAAGCGGCAAAATTGGTGAAGATCTTTTATGACGTGAAACTGAAAGCTTAAAAAAGTCACACAAGCCGTTGTGGGATACTCAAAATGGTTTTGACCAGAGAAAAGTTCTCCCTGAAAAAGTAAAAAACATAACATATTCGCTCGTTCTCATTTGTAGTCTGCCTTTCTCCACTCATTATATTCGTTCGGTATTTAAATTGGAAGGTATGGTTTGAACTCCTTAGGTTTATAATTAGCGATGGCAATGGATAACCTACTCTATGGGTATTCATGGAGACTCAACCCAAATACATGGATTTTTCCCTCTTTTTCTTATCCATTGGGTAGGGTAGGTGATATTCTTTAAATATCCACAGGGGATGGGTTGGGAAATAAATGAATAACAAATATATTTGTAAAAAAATATTATTCATTATTGAAAGGGTACTCAGTCTAAAAATCTAAAATTTTGTTTAGTCAAATATTCAAGTACTGAAGGGTGGTTCTATTTACACACTATATTTAGTCTTAAGGCACACCACTACTCAGTTCGCACCTTTAATAATTTGAAAAAACATACAGCTCGTTTGGTTTTGGTTTTGATTTTGGTTTTGGTTTTCAGAAAACAGTTTTTCAGAAAATTTTACTTTTTTATTTTTCGTATTTTAATATTTTCAATGAATTTTTCTAATTTTTTTTTAAAATTTTTAGACACACCTAACATAAATATACTTAAAAAGTATAATATTTATGAAAAAAATCTTTAAAAAATACACTAAATACCAAAAAATACAAAAATATATATATATATATGAAAATTCAGTACAATTTTCGTATTTTTGTATATTTTTTAATTTTTAAAATATTTTTCACAAATATTATACTCTTTAAGTGTATTTATGTTAGGTGTGTCTAAAAATTTAAAAAAAAAAATTTGCTAAAACATTAAAAAAAATTCATTGAAAACATCAAAATACGAAAAATAAAAAAGTAAAATTTTCTGAAAACCAGAACCAAACAAGCTGTATGTTTTTTCAAATTATTAAAGGTGTGAACTGAGTAGCGGTGTGCCTTGAGACCAAATGTGGGGTGTAAATAGAGGCACCCGGTACTGAAACATTACAATTTATCCATAAAGATAAGGGCATGTAAAATGACCAAATAAACCCTGACACAAATCGTCTTTATCTCCTCTTTTCTTACTTCGCTGCCAACGGCAAGGTCTCTTTTCGTTCTTCATTGCCACCATACGATCAAAAACAGACAACACAGAATCACCGATTCAAAAAAGCTCTGAATCCAAAAGGACTCTATATATATTTTTAAAATATCCATGTATATATATTGTATATCCAAGCTAAACCATGACACAAATCATATTCATCTCCTCTTCTCTCTCTTCGCTGTGAACGGGAAGGTCTCTTCTCTTTCTTCATTGCCACCGTACGATCAAAGCACACAATACAAAATCACCGATTCAAAAAAGCTCTGAATCCAAAAGGACTCTATATATATATTTCATTTTTATTTTTGATTGGCAAATATTAGTTGTTAGTTGTTAGATTAGCACACATGGGAAAAAATCTCCCCACTTTTGGCAAAGCACCCAAGTGCTTGTACTTCCTTAATTCAACCACCGTAAGGGGAATTGAACCCATAACCTTTTTGGGACTAAACCCTAAGGAAGGCATGGTAGCCGATTAGGCTAGGCCTAGTTGGTTCAGACTCCATATATATATGTAGAGATGGAGAGAGAAGATTGAGAGATTAAAGCAAAAGGAGAAGTTTTGGATGATTGGTGATTTTCTTTTTTTCCAAATCAAACAGATCTTTTTTTTTTTATTTGGTAGTTGTGTTTTTGGTTTTGTTTTTATTGCTTATGTTTCTTTTAAAAGTTAAATAAGACTTCATCGACGCAGATCTCAGATCTATGAGTGGATCCATTTTATTTTATTTTTTATTTTTTGTAGTGGTTGTTAATTGCTGTTGTTGATCTGGTGGTAGTAGTGGTAGTGGTGGTGATGAAACAGATAAATTTTTTGTTTTTGTTTTTTGTTGAACAGATAAGAGAGAAATAGAGAGAGAAAAAAAGATTTGAATATATAATAAAATATGTTTAAAATCTGAACAGATAAAAAAATTAAATAGATAAAAAAAATTAAACAGATAAAAGATTGAACAGATAGTTTCAAACAGATAAGTGAAAAAATTGAATAGATAATAAAATTTGGACAAATATTTGTACAGATAAGGAGAAAAAATTGAGCAGATAGTTAAAAATTTTGAATAGATAGAAAATAATTTGAACAAATAGATATAAATTTAAACAGATAGAAAGTAATTTGAACCGGCAGTAAAAAAGTCAACATATAAAAAAATTAATAGATAAATTAATGCATAAAATTAGAAACAAAATGTCTTTCAAAACAAATAAAAGAACTTCTCATTAAATTATTTCACAAATGATGGATTTCTCACCGATAAAAAAATTTAGCACTTTACATTCTTTTTAAGTTGAACTTTTCAACAATTATCTCTTATTCAAAGGGATTTGGACTCTCTAATCCAAATTTGGACCGTCGCAAAGCCCAACCCATATTTAAATGGGTTAAGAGCCTCTCCAGTTGGGTATCAGTTGAAGGGTACAATAGAGCTTCATATGTAATTCGATAATTCAAGCTATTTAAATTGCAAGACTCTTTGAGCAGAGTATCCATATAAAAAATCAAATTAATCGGATAATAATAACTACTTGATCAAATCAGATTTATCTTTAAAAAAAATAAGTGACAACTATGATTTAAAAAATTATTCGTTTATGTTTTAAAAACCAAATTTTTGGAAGATGCTGTAGGGCTTCATGCGTAATTCGATAATTCGAACTGTTCAAATTGTAAGACTTTTTTAGCAAAGTATCCATACAAAAAATCAGATTGATCGAATAATAATAACCACTTGATCAAATTGGATTTATCTTCAAAAAAAATAAGTGATGTGTATGATTTTAAAAATTATTCATCTATTTTTCTAAAAACAAATTTAATTTAATTACGTGATTATAATTATATGATCAATATAATTTTTTTAACAAAGATGATATTATCCATAAAGCCTATAATGTGAATAATTTATATCACCAAATGAAAGCATGGTGGTACCCATGAAACACAACACCCTCAAATTGGGATAACGAACAACTAGAGAGGATCATGAACAATCTACTTAAATTATGTCAAAATAATCATATTTTATTTCAATAACATGACTTGCTATTATTGATTTACAATCTCTCACCACTCATGCAACAATAATAAGTCACATAATAAATAAAATATAATATAAAAATAATATAATCATTATAATATTATAAATTATATTGTGACCCTTTCAATTGTTATTTCACATTTGTTTGGCAATCAATTTTTTTGTTAAAAAAATACCAAAAAACACAAACAAAAACAAAAACAAACAAAATATTACATTAATCAATAAGACAAAATGTCACATCTAAATCATAATTATTTTAATTTTTCTCTCACAAAAATAAAAAATAAAAAAAGTCAAAAAAATTAAACCAAACAACTTTCCAAGCTAAAATAGTCAAAAAGTAAAAAAAACTAACTTAAAAAAGTCTATTGCCAAACAACGACTAAAAGATTGTACAATTAAACCTACGGACTGTATAAAAGATTTGTACAAATATACTTTCTCAAAAAAGTGAGAATAATACAATTTTTCAAAGCAAAGGAAAATGCATTCTTTCATAAATTCTATAGAAATATTTCAATCAAAATAATTTGACTGACAAAATAAACACGGATTGAACTTTGTTTCAACCTAATTAAGGTTGTCTTCAATTTGCATTGTTTGAAGGTTTTTTTTAGTTTTTTATTTTTTTTTTATTACCGAAAAAAGTATAAGAAGAAGAAGAAACATTTATGCTCTGATTAAAACGTCCCCAAATTCATATATACTTTCTCAAGCTCCAATGGAGACCTGCAACACTGCGATTACAATACAACCCGGTCCATCAAGGAACTCAATAAATAAAGAAATAAATGTTGCATTTAACCATACAACACTAATAATTACAAAAACAGCACTACTAGGTCTCTGATCAACAGGTTGAAAAAAGCCCAAAAATCAGGATCTGAATCTGAAAAAATTCAACTTACATTGAGGAGAGAAATGATCTGTACACCGTGGTCTCTAGGGGCGTGTCTGAACTTCAGCAGCAGCAAACTCCCTCAGACATGGGGCATCAAAGTCAATTCTGTCGGGTTTCTACAAACAACAATGCTACGGAGCCCGAAAAAGTTAATCAAAAAGTTACTACAAAATGAAATGTGTGGACTAAATTCAATCTGTGTATGACTCCCATCACGCAAAGTTCAAATCTACATCACACTTTTCATTTTCCATTAACTTTGGATTACTTTTTGAGGGACCCAAGCAAATACCTCATTCCAAAAGCTCACGAGTCATCTTCTTGAAACTCTATGATCCTTTGTTGAGAAAATTGTTAGTGAGATAAACTGTATTGATAATGCAGAAACCAATGCTGAAAGAGCAAATGAGACCCGCATCATCTGGAATATGTCCTTGGAGTAGCAACAGGATGACCCTCTGTCCTTCGCCCTTTGTCTGCATTAGGAAAGCTTTCTGATTTTCCTCTTTCCAGGTTCGGAGTTGATTGACCTTCCGATCTTCCTTTATCTGATTTCCTATGTTTTTCCATATTTTCAACATGATGGCCCTCTTTCTGGAGAGATTGGCCACTGTCCAATCCTAGGCCTTTTTCCGAGTTATAACCTGATTGTCCATCTACTTCCTGATAATTGTCTAGATTTTGGACTGACTGGCGTGATTCTGATCCTCTACCTCTTTCATTGCTTTGCGCAGAAGGCTTAGAACTCCGTCCTTTGTCCATATTTTGGAGCTCATTAGCAATCTGGTTTCGTCGTTCTTTCAAGAAGTTGAGTCGGTTTGTTAGCTTTGATAATGCAGAAGATGTAGAGTTAGCACCCTGAAATGCACAAATGAGGGTTTGCTAACATTTATCTCATTTATTTGGTCCTATCCAACTTTTGTGGAGATAATGATGACTATTCCATGATCCAACATCATAGCTATTTGATTGCTATTGCTTATATTATATTTATAATCCATTGATGGCAAGGCTCTTTAGCCAATCTAGGCACTTGGGCAACTAAGCAATGTCAACTGACTATAGGAGATGGTTGCATTTTGTATTTGAATTTTGAGATAAGATTAAAAAGTCGTAAACCGTTTTTCAGAATGAAATCTCCATTCCAACCCTGCCCTCTTCTCTTCAGGAAAACAAATGACCATACATGAGCAATAAAATTGGCTTTCAAGAAGGGTGAAAAAATGAGAGAGAGAGAGAGAGAGAGAGAGAGTCATTTTGCAGACCATGGAAATCAAAATATACTTCTTTGGAATAAACAAGACAGACCAGTTTCATTTTACGCTCTGTTTGTCTTGGCGGAAAACTTTTTCGATTTCATGTTTGGTCACATTTTTTAAACTAAAGTATTAATGATTGTAGTAGTTGTGGTGGTGGTGGTGGTGGCAGGGTGGACGTGGCAGTGTAGTGGTGGCGGAGCTGACAGTAATAGTGTGGCGGCATTGTTAAGACGGTAGTCCAGAAAATGCTGCTTTTCCACCTTTTGCAAGTGGAAAACATTTTCCGCCTAATTAGGTTTTTTTTCCGTTGACCATGAAAAAATTTCCCATTTGACTTTTGTTTTCCGTTATACCAAATGCCAGGAAATGTAAAAAACATTTTCCACCACAGAACATTAATGTACTGTCAGTAAGGCCCCACAACTCTCACAAATTGTTGCTAGTGTTGGATGTCTTCTAGTTCTAGAGGAGCACAGGAATACAGATAACAGGCATAATAAATAAGAATAATAAACCGTACCTCACCCCATGTACCAGACTTCTTCGAATTGGTTGGAGCCAGCTTGCTTATTACTGGTTCCGCACAAGATGAAGCAGTTGTATCCCCAACAGATTTGTAGCAGCATACTGGATCCAGCCGCTGGTTCTGAGGCAAGTGTTTATTTGCCAAGAATGGAAGGTCCTGTTTCATATCTCTGTCACTTTCTACCTTATCCAATTGGGCATCCTGTTGAAGATAAAAGATAGTTATTCTTCCCAAGAGTAAGAAAACATTGCTCATGTAAACTGCAAAAAAAAATTAGTATCTGAAGAGTATGACAATTGCTGATTTACATTGCAAAACTAGTATCTGAAGAGTATGACAAGTCTCATCTTTTTATCTATTTGTTTTTGTCAATTCTTTAAAATAAAATAAAATAAATATCTGAAAAAATAATAAGAAAGAGTATATGTTAGATGGTTAGAACTTCATGAATCAACCTTGGCTTGTGTACAGTTTGATCTACTAAGGTAAATGCAATATTTTCTAGTTAATAATTAGGAAAGAAGTGCATTGGTTATGTAAACCATTTATGTCTATTCCTTCAAGCGCCCCAAGATTGGCAACCCATTCAGAAGAAAAAAAATTTGCAGCTTATGTAGCTTAAAATCTGAAATTTCATTTTAAGCAATTGTACTTAGAAAAGTTAAGATGTTTTGTAAAAATTTTCAGGTTTTCAGCTTTTCTTCTTTTTCAGCTCAAAAGGCTATTCTTTTTAAAGCTGGGCTTGAGAAGCTTTCTTTAAGTTGAAAATAAGTTCTCCAAACAGGCTCTTGATGCTGCCATTTTAGACAAAAATTGGCTGTGCTTATGATGTTTGAAAGATTTCATTGGCAACATGACCAACGAAAAAGAAAAAAGATCCGCTGGAGAGGATCCATTAGTCAAATTCATATATAACCCATGTCCACTCTCCAGCATTTCAAAACTTCAATGTCAATCCAGAGATTCCAAATGGATTCCAAAAGAAAATAGCTTCTGGAAGTGAGTGTATATTGTATACCTTATTTCTTGTTGATCTCTCGGGAATATGTGAAGTAGCTGTAGTTTCAAAGTCCTTCCTTTTCTCCTTCCTGTACCCAAATTATGAGTCCAGAAGGCATGAGAAAATAAACTGAGGCAAAAAAGTGCCAAAACATGAGCACCTCTGCATATATTTTGTCTATTTCTAAGCACCTAAAAACTTCTTATTCAGTGGACAGTTAAACTCTACTCAAGCATGCAACTTATATACCAGCATTAAAAAGACACAACTCAAAGGAAAAGTTCTTCTAGCACTGGGGCAAAAGTGTAAAAAAACAGAAGATAAAATACACTCATGAAACCAAAAGGAAAGCTTACAGTTTTGCTTGATGATTAGGAGTCTGTAGGGGTTGATTGCACGAACCATGTGCGAGACCACAGTTTTGCTCACGTTGTTGATTAAGCTGCACTCCAAGATCATCAGCCTTCTGCTTCAAATTGATGACATCTGCCTCCACTCGAGCAATTTCCTCAAGGTCTGCCTTTGTCTTTAGCACATATACAGTTAATAGTTTAGTGGATGATCAAATCCAATGATAGCAGTGGTTGCAAGGTAAACAAACCTTTTCATCAATAGTGGCTGAGAGAGGTAAGGGCCCTTGAGGCATTTTAAGTCCAGCTTCCAGTACTGTCCTCAACTCTCTCTCTTTCTGCAACTGTTCCTGTAGTCTTGTCACCTGGGAGTATAACCAACACCTAGCGTCAGTCAAAACCCTGGATGTCAAGGTTAGTAGTATGTAAAGCATGTTAATGCATCTATTAAGATTGAATTATCAATACAAAAAGATAAAAGGGAAATTTTTTTAGCTGAGAGGTAAAACTAAAAATGCTTCTTTCTGTCAAATATAACACAAGCCAATTATGTTTACAAATCATAAAGAAAATAATTTGAAGAGGGAGAACATAGATCGGATATAAATAGGGTTGAAGAATGGTAAACTGCTGGGGCAACTTTAGTTCATATCTGGAGTCATTACAAACTCATGATGATACACACTCATGGAGGAATGTATATAGCAACATCGATCATTCTTGCCAATTTCTGGCATTACATGTTTATTTGAGATCTTGATGTGTACTGGTAGGCCCTTTCATAACAACCGAAGTTTTTGGGATTGGGACTAGCAGTGATCTAACATGGTATCAGAACAAAGTCGCCTCCCAACACTTTGCTTGCCTCTAAGGGGTTCCTCGTAGAGAGTAGGAAATCCGGGGTCATTTTGGTGGTGGTTCCATTGCTACATATGGCTGAAACTGAGGGTAATACAGCTATGAGCACAGCTTGGGAGTAATATTCTAATGTGTTTCCAGAAGTGCTTCCTTCCAAGTAGCTTCCTATGTGGGATATCCAACATTGTATTAATTTGGTGCCCAGTTGGCGCTTCCAAACAAACCAACCTATAGAATGTCTCCAAAGGAGAGGGAAATACTTCAAACGCAAGTCAGAGAGCTTTTGGGGAAGGGGTACTTAAGGGCAAGCCTTAGTCCTTGTGGTGTGCCACTCTTTCGACTGAGGATGACTCATGGCATGTGTGACATGTTGGATTGCCTTGTTGGTTCGCTTTTATAATATATACCTTAGAAGTGGCTATCATCAAATTCAAATTCGACAAGTTGAGGAGTGTAAAACGACTTTCAAGACTCCTAATGGCCTAGAAGTGGCTATCATCAAATTTAAATTCAATAGGGTGATGAGTGTAAACAACTTTCAAAACTCCTAATGGCCTATTTGAGTGGCTTGTCATGCCCTTTGGGTTTACAAATGCTTCAAGTACTTTTATGCAGACGATGATTCAAATGTTGCAACCACTTTTGGGAGTTTGTGTGATGGTATATTGTGATATATAGCCATTTTCTACAACAACACTTTGTCCATCTCCAACATGCATTTGAAATATTGAGACGAAAAAAGTTCAATGGCAACACCAAGAAGTGTAACTTTTTGCCGTTGATCAAGTTATTTTCTTGAGTATGTTGTTTCATCTCAAGGGGTACTCGTGAATGAGGATAAGGTCAAGGTGATTGTTGATTGTCCTACTCTTTCTATTATTCATGAGGAATTTCCATGGCTTGGCTACTTTCTATCTGAGGTGCGCAAGGCTCAAAAAACTCCACAATTGAATTTCGCAAACCTTAAACCAGATCAACAGTGCGATGCGATTCTCCGTAACTCAATCAGAGGCATATTCGAACAGTTTCTAAAGCAATTTTTTAATCAATTAGGTTTCAAAATGTTTCAATTAAGGTTCAAATAGGGAAAAGAAACAAATTCAAACACGAATTAGGGCAAACGATGTTTTGAAACTGTTAGAATAGTTATTTCTATTCCATTGTTAATATTTACTTAAGTTGAGGGTACGATGGTCATATTGCAATATTAGGAGTTAGAATGTAAAATGAGAGAATTTAGGGTTAGGAAGAAGAAGAGAGAAGAGAAGAGGAAGGAATTTTTATATATCTTATAATGTTGTGCTCAACCATACATCAGTACATTAGCAAAATATATATACAAACTCTAATATTGCAATACAACCATCGTGTCCTCAACTTAAGTAAATATTAACAATAGAACAGAAATAACTATTCTAACACTCTCCCTCAAGCTAGAGCATAGAAATCAAACATGCCTAGCTCGACAGAAAAGCGATGAAACGAAAACCAAGCTAAATGTTTGGTGAGAATATCAGCCAATTGATCTTCAAAACGAACATTAGGAGTCACAAGTTGCTTACGCAATAAGAGATCGTGAATAAAATGGCAATTAACCTTTATATGTTTGGTTCGTTCATGAAACACAGGACTATTGGCAATGAAGATAGCAGTTTGATTATCACAAAACATGCTCATAGGAGTGGGAACAGAAATAACTATTCTAACATAAATGATTCAAAACTCAATTTGACGTTTTCACACTTGAGAATCAGAGGCAAATCAAACTGAAATCAAATTTATATGGTTATGCTATCGAACTTGAATTAGAGTCAATTCAACCTGATTGTGATCAATTCGTGTACAAGGTCGATTATGACAATCGCACCATTAACACATAAATTCTCGAAGTGTTGAATATAGAAATTAGAGTATATAGAATCTTTTTATTTTTAGTATTATGTATATAATTTGTGATTGTGTCAATCACTGATTTAGTATTGTTTCCTTATTTATATCGTTTCCTAAATTGTATCATGAATCTATTATATATACATAGCCTTTACCTCATTCATGGGTAAGTCAAATAATTCTTTTCGTTCTTTTTGGTATCAAAGCTAGGTTAAGTACCTAGTAATTTTGCTTTACCGGTGGGCGGCAGCCTTGCCTTGGCCGCCCACCAGACCTCAACCCCTTCCACTGTCATATTTTCCTGTCAGTATCACTTCATGGTGATCTCTTCCTTTGTCCGTTGGTTTATTCCTACCCCAAATATCTCTATCATATATATATATATATATCTATATAATGCCACTCTGATTTGTAATACATAATATCAATCATCAATCTTGTAATACATCAATCAATAAATCAATAATACATAAATTCTTACACTTACACAATAAGAGGTCGTGAATAAAATGGCAATTAACCTTTATATGTTTGGTTCGTTCATGAAACACAGGGCTATTGGCAATGAAGATAGCAGTTTGATTATCACAAAACATGCTCATAGGAGTGGGAACAGAAATAACTATTCTAACATAAATGATTCAAAACTCAATTTGACGTTTTCACACTTGAGAATCAGAGGCAAATCAAACTGAAATCAAATTTATATGGTTATGCTATCGAACTTGAATTAGAGTCAATTCAACCTGATTGTGATCAATTCGTGTACAAGGTCGATTATGACAATCGCACCATTAACACATAAATTCTCGAAGTGTTGAATATAGAAATTAGAGTATATAGAATCTTTTTATTTTTAGTATTATGTATATAATTTGTGATTGTGTCAATCACTGATTTAGTATTGTTTCCTTATTTATATCATTTCCTAAATTGTATCCTGAATCTATTATATATACATGGCCTTTACCTCATTCATAGGTAAGTCAAATAATTCTTTTCGCTCTTTTTGGTATCAAAGCTAGGTTAAGTACCTAGTAATTTTGCTTTATCGGTGGGCGGCAGCCTTGCCTTGGCCGCCCACCAGACCTCAACCCCTTCCACTGTCATATTGTCTCGTCAGTATCACTTCATGGTGATCTCTTCCTTTGTCCGTTGGTTTATTCCTACCCCAAATATCTCTATCATATATATATATATATATTTAGGAAGGATATTATACTTACATCATGGTGAGCATGGTGATATACCATGTGAACCACCAAAGCCGTCCCATCTGGCGCACAACCTAAGTCGCCCCCTTGGCACACCACCTAAGCCGCCCCTTTGGTGTACAACTAAAGTTGCCCCCTCTAGCACACCACCAAAGCCGCCTCCTAGCACATTTTATAACAAGTCGCCCCTTGCCGTACTTAGTCATCTGTTGCCATCATCGTTCAGCACCACGTCATAAGTTATGTGTGCCACGCTTGTTGATTCAACATCCAGTTCTCTACATCGGTCCGACATGACCCCTTTAAACTGTCTCGACATTCCGGTTAGTCACTACAATAGTCTGACAAGGCCCCTTAAACTGTCCCGACATTAATTCCGATTAGTTCGTACAATGGTCCAGTATGACCCTGTAAACTATCCCGACATTGATTCCGGTCAGTTCCTACAACGGTCCAGCATGACCTTAAACAGTCCCGACATTAGTTCCAGTCAGGGTGTTTCCTGGCCATAGATGCTTCGGCAGCTCTTCTAAGGCAGTTCAGTCTCTGTTTTTTCCTTTTCTAGGGTGTGGCGTTGATGTATTAAGCACTTTTTGACCTTTTTTTATTTAGTGGACTACCAGATTTGTTCAGTAGCATTTATTTGAACTAGCCGTTGAGTTTTTTCCAGCTTCTTCTAGTCATCATTGGCAAGCTGCAATTGTTGAATATCTTCACACCAGCTTGAGAGGGAGTGTTGAATATAGAAATTAGAGTACGTAGAATCTTTTTATTTTTAGTATTATGTATATAATTTGTGATTGTGTCAATCACTAATTTAGTATTATTTCCTTATTTATATTGTTTCTTTATTTATATCATTTCCTAAATTGTATCATGAATCTATTATATATACATGACATTTACCTCATTCATGGGTAAGCCAAATAATTCTTTTCATTCTTTTGCCTAGAGCTTATTCAAAAGCAATTTCAGCTTCAATTTTAGGTTGCTAGGGCTTTGAAAGTCTAAAGAATACAATCGCTGAGGTGCTTGCTGTTAATCTAAAAAATCTACCCCAATTGAAGAAGAATTACACTTGTGATGCACACAAGAACAACTTGCAAATTTTGAACTACAATTGAGAAGTAAATTTCGCCAGTGAATTGATATTCCATAGGACAGAAATTTGAGCCTAAGCTCTAATACCAAATGATGCAAACAAAAGTTGCAATCAGGTTCAAAATCAAGAGAGAGAGAGATCCCAACCTAGGATAACCCCTAGGGTTAGAGAGAGAACCACAACACCTAATCAGTTTCTATATTCTTCAATCAAAAACTAACCACAATTCAGATTCCATCACCTATTTATAGACTAAGACCTCTAACAACCACAACTAATAGGACACAACAGAAAAAACTAACGACATGTAGGCATAAGCATTATTTTATTTTTAAAGGTACTTATTGTGTTACATCAGAACACCTCTCAAAACATTGGCAGTTATAATAAAACAAACAGATGCAAGCGGAGTCATCAAATGCCAATCTAGGCACTATGCATAACTTGAAAAGCATTCTTACTTTGACTCCACTTAACTATGAGGAGATATTTCATCCTGTTTGGAAACAATAAAATTACAAGTTGCTTCCTCCTCACTGCCTACAGCAAATGCAATACTGAAAAAGAAGATTGCATAAGCAAATCCTCACCCAATTCTCAAGAATGTAATGAGAACTATACTAGAGCCGAATATGATTAAAATTTTGAAGATCAGAACATGAATCTCTACCCATCTAAATGAGATAGACAACTGTGCAAATATAAGAGGAAAGCAAAAGAGGTTTAAAGAGAATATTAAATATGAGAAGCAAATACTTCTTGTTCAAGAGCTAGACGACGCTCATGCGAAGCATTCTTTCGTCTCTCCAAACTTGCTTGTAGATTCTCATTCCCTGAAGCCTATAATGACAAAAATAAATAAATAAATTAATTAATTAAATATTCCCAAAAAAATTTAACAAAGGGACAATTCATAATAAGAAGAAAATGGAAGTGCCTACCTCTTCTGCAATTCTGTCTAGCAGGTCAATTTTGGTGACCTCAAGCCTTTCAATCTCAGCCCTAGTAATGGGTCAAAAATTAGACTGATTGCACCATTTGGTGTCATTCTAGAGCAAGCTACAGCCAATCAGATTAAAATGTGTATGCCAATAAATGATTGGATTGCCAAACTTCAAGGAAAATAGTTAAAGCCTCGAAGTTAAGTAGAAAAAATGACTAATCTTGGGATTTATGGATTTTAAGCATAGAAAAAGGCAAACACCATAAAGACAAGCCATAGGACTATAGTGTACTTTATTAACTGGCAATGCAGCTTTTAAAATTCAATTTGAACTGGAAAAGAATAGACAGCATACTTGGGAAGAATAGGAAGGAGACATGAATTCAAGCAGAAAAATTTTATGACCAGACATCCGAATTGTTAGAATTTCCCATCTTTACCTTCACCTACTCCACTACACACTCCACTTCACCTACCTCCACTTCACCACACACTCCACTTCACCTAACCCACTATCACCTCCACTACACCTACTACCACATTTTCTTCTATATATAGATTGTATAGGAATTGTAATTAATCAATCTTGTAATACATCAGATATCCATCAATAATATATCATTTTTAACACGAATGTTCAAAGAAGAACCAATTCTGAGGACTGAAGTAGCCCCAGACAGTATTTTCTAAGTCCTGAATTGCGTAATGTGGGTGCAGGGCTTTAAATTATTTTAAACCTTTCCAAATCTTATCCTTTCCCAAAAATCAATCATAGCTTTGTTCTGAGAATTGCAAAACATTTTTTAATTAGACCCCTACATCTATGTAATACTTCTTTGTCTACTAGTCACATTTTCACCATAACATGCCTTTTCAACATTATTAGTAGGAGTATTTATGTATTTGCATTCATCATAGAATAGTAATACAAAGAATGATGTCTTGGGTGAAAAGAACAAGGACAAAATGACAACAAATATAGGAAAATCCACAAAATTTATTGTAGATGGTTACTATTTCCACTCATGAAGATCATCAAAGTATTCAAAATTACAAAATATATATATATTTAGTAGTGGACTTCTTGATTATACAAGAACAATTTCAAATTTAGGCCATATCTGAGTCATACAAGCCACCCTTTGACTAGAAGCAATGGTACATACTGTAACCTATGTAAACCTTTGTCTCTCTACCACATTATCAATTAAAGTAAAAATACCAAACCAAACCAAACCAAACGAAACCTTAAGTCCCATCAAATGGGGTCGGCTACATGAATCCTTCTTCTCCACGCGGCCCTATCAAAGGCCATTTCATTAGTCAAATTAAGTAGATTCATATCTCTATTTATAACGCTAGTCAACGTTAATCTAGGCCTACCCCATCCCCTAACACTTCCATCTACCGTTACAGCATCGCATCTCTTCACTACTGCCTCTGTTGGTCTCCGTTGAATATGACCAAACTATCTCAAATGATTCTCTCTCAACTTATCTTCTATCGGTGCTACTCCTACCCATTCCCGAATACACTCATTCCTAATCCTGTCCTGTCTAGTCTTACCACACATCCACCTTAGCATCCTCATCTCAGCCACACTCATCTTATCTACATGTTGTTTCTTGGTTGTCCAACACTCCGTCCCATACAACATGAATGGAAAAAAATAATAATAATAATTTTGAGTGGTGGTAATATCAAGTACATCTTAAGAATGACACCTAGACAAAAGTAGTCACTACAAAAGTTTTTAACAAACACATGTAACTAGATTTGCTTTAAAAATTTAAATGGATGATAACTGTATCACTTACTCGTCTTCAAAGGGGAGATCAACAGATTCCATGGCAAGCTTCTTTCCCTGAATATGCATATGAAAAAGTCATACAAACAAAATCGAAAGTTACACTAACAAAAATAAAGAATCAAGAGAGCTTAATTGATAAGGTGGATAAATTAAAAAGCTCTTCCAGAAAGAATAAATTTTATGCCTAAATTTAATAGAGCTAAATATGAAAACCATAAAGGAAGCCACATAGTTATACCCACAGTGGTATGCCCCCCGTGAGCATAGTTAGAGAACATAATTATACTAAAGAGAGATATATCATGAATCTAGGGAACAAATTTATACTCACAGGGGTACGTCCCCAAACAGTAGGACGCCGTCCACCAGACTCTGGTCCGTCTGATATGGATGTCGAGTTCTGAATGTGTGAAGATGGACTCTTGTATGGACTCTTGTCCGTTAACTTATGCACCAAACTTGTCTCTGCATGATTATCTCCTAATACTTCACTAGACACATTAGCCTGCATTGCTGAACTATTGTTGTTTCGATTCGGAAAATTCTCAGTTATATGTACATTAACATGTTGGGTAGAAGAACTTTGAGGAGAGCTTGATGATGATTTCTGATTGGCTTTACAATCATCATCTGATTCATTGGACTTGGAAATCAATCTAGGACCATTAGAACCCTGCATCTTAATATGGTTAGTTTGAGTATGCTAATTGGGAAAAAGTGCAGGAAGGGAATGGCAACTAAAAGAGAAAACAATTCAACAAATATATCCATGATGAACCATATAATAGAACAGTGAATATAGATACCATAGAAAAGGTTCCAATCAATTCAAAAGATGATAAACTACAGCAATCACATAAATAGCATACATGTCATATGAATTTCATGGAAAGGAAAAGAAACAAAATTGGTGGCATGGGAAGGTGGTGTGGCACAGATGTTCACCACACTAATTCAACGATCTATAAAAAATAAATAACTAAAGTACACAAAACATATGCTGATCACTAAAAGAGGCTGGCACTGGGAATAAATAACATATTAAGCTATTGCTCAGATTTTACAATAATCTTATTGTGCGTGTGTCTGTGTAAATGTTCAGGTTAAGAAGTCAAAAACTAGCCTTATCATCATAAATTTCATCATCTCCAGTATCGCCAGTCTCACTGTGAGTTTCATTTGATGCATGTTCAAAATCTTCATCAATGTCTACATCAGAAGCATCTGTTCCATCTTCATCATATTCATCGTCCTCAATGGTCTCATCATCATCAGTTAACTCCTCACTCTCACTTCCACTCTCTTCTGAGTCGGAGTATAGTTCAGTTGACATGGCACCTTCCTGCAAACAATTATACTAGTTTATCAGATAGAAAATTATAAAAGAGGAAATTGTAGGAACAAAAAATGTCCTTCAAAACAAGCCATAGTGCAGATTAGAATTAGATTAAGCATAAAAGCGCAAAGAGAAAGTAGAAACTTGTTAAACTAGAGAGAATAACTAATAAGCGTATAAAAAGAACTGTCTGTATGGTTTAAACAAGATTTTACACAACTTAATGAGTTATGACATCATCTATCAGTACTAACGATAACACATTAATTTGCCCATCTTTGACATTTTGTACAATATTACCTCTAAGGAGTATAGAGAAATGGTTTTCGTCCACATTGAAAGTCCCCAAAGAATGAAACAGCCAAAGAGAACATGAGTTGGGGATGGCTAAAGAGGCAATGCCATGACCAAGGCTATGGCTATGAAGCTTATTAGAGCCAACTGGAGAAGATAGATCCACATAGCAGACTCCAAGTAATTGGTATTAAGGCTTGCAGGGTTGAGTATTCAAAATCCAACACTTACTTGACAATGAGCATATAAGTTATGAAGGACAGATCTTTTACCCTGCAATTGATTATTTATTTGATTGGTATTTTAGGGATATTAATCTCACCACAACCAAAAGAATTCTTAACCAAATGTTCTCTTTGTCAATCCTTGGCAATATCTTATTTAGTCTCAATGCCTCTTTAAAGCCCTTATGCAAAAGCATGGTAGACCAACAAGTGGTCGCCATGAGAATCTCACAAGGGGCTGACTTCCTACTCTTTTTTCAAAATATCCAATGATCACAGTAAGTTGAATCATTCTTGAAAGCCTATAAGATTTTGTTTTCGTTTTTCATTTTTGTTTCTTTTAGCCACAGTAAGATTTGAACAAGTAACCACACCCCTCCTTTTCAAGATCCCATGCTTCCATTTATACTGTAGTGGTACAACAGCTTTGGTTTTAAAATATATATATATATATATATAAATTTATGAAAAATGAGATCACACATCAAGAACCTTAGGATATCTAGAGGGAGAAATTCCCAATTAGGAATACTAGAGCAAAGCTCTGAATTTTACAGTCAAAATATCAAAAGTTAGTTATGGAGCAACTAACCACCTATTTATAGACAAAGCTAGCTCAACCACCAACCAAAAATACTACCACAACAATTACTCACATCAGCATTGATTGTCTCGAAAGTTGTAACTTGTAGTTACCTAGGAGTGTTGTCTTAACTTTTAAAATCTTTATCAACTAGGGATCTTTGTCATGTTCCCGATGTGTCTTTATGTAAGTCTACATGAAAGGAGGGTTATCAGTTAAAAAAAAGAATATTCTCTACAAGTTCTATTGTTAAAACTCTTCCGCTTTATTTTAAGGCGAGCTCACCAAGGCGCCAAAGTCTCCAAGGGCCTAGGCATGAGGCATGAGGCATGAGGCATGAGATGAGGTGAGGCCTTCATAAAAGCAAGGGACATTTTGTAGATATTGTATAGTTTTTTTTACGAATTTGTTGAAATTTATTGTGTATTTTATCTACTATGTACTAACAAATGACATCATATTTTTACAGGAGATTCTTACCACCAACATATTAAGTTGTGCTTGATAACTTGGACCACATCAACAACTTCAAATCAAGCAATTAAAAAATTAGAAACAGTTAAGCAATTATGCAATCAAATAATTAACCAAATTAAGAAATTAAATAATCAAAAACATTTTAAAAAGAGATAGCGGATTTGGATTTTCATTCATCCGGTATGTTTTTTTGCAAATCTTTTTTTGATAAAATGATTGATGATCCAAATGTACCGGACTTTATTCCTCATAGGTTGATTTGTAGTGCATGTGTGCCCTTTAAGGTTGAAATGTTAGTATGGTCATGGCCCATAAGAAATTTAATATCAATAATATGGCTCAAAAAAGGAGACCAAATTGATATCATTCATCAGTGGTGTGTCATGTGTAGGGGGCAAGGAAAGTATTGATCATCTACTTTTGCATTGTCCTACAGTATTGTGGAGGGTGCTCCATTTGGCCCATATGGATTGAGTAGTTCCTTTTTCTAGTATGCAAATTTAAGTGACTTCGGCTCAAATACTGAAGTTTTTCAGCATAAATTTGAATTCTTTGGGGGCTTATTATATTAGAAAATTTTGTTACTTGGCTTCTTTTGGTCTTCAGTGTCCCCCTTTTTAAGGGAATTCCTTTATTTTTTATTTTTGAAGATTGGAAAGTGGGGTGTAGGATGTAATGTTGTGTATTTTGTTTTGTTTTGGAAGACTTGTCCATCTTATACCTTGAGTAATTTTTCTTTTTATTAATAAAATTTCCTTTTTGTTGTTGTTCAACACATATAATGAGTCTCGTTAGTTCAAAGGGATAATATCGCATATTTAACAAATCAGACAATTAAAAGAGGCATATGCCTCCTCGCACACCTTGGTTGCACTTCATTAAAGTTGCCTTGCCTAAGGGGTATTAAAGTTGCCTTGCCTAAGGGGTCGTGAGACACACCAGGTGTACCTCAATCTTAGCCGCGTGCCTAAGTGTGCTTTTAATAACATTGACTCCACCTTAATTAACCTTGTGGTATAGCCAAATTGAGTGATTCTGCAATCACTAGTCTCAAGTGATCTCAACACCCTTAACAGTTGATTCCCCTTATTAACCCCACATCTTTAGCTGCATTCATTTGTTGGTACCATTGTGCTATAAAAGCTAAAGAGGAAGATATTCAGAGTGTCCTTGCGGTTAGCACAGGGCCCCTTTTTTCAGTCTCAACCTTGTATTGTTGGTAATACCATTCTTTTCCACGAGGCATATGTTTGGCGTGACATAGTAGTGGTGGTGGAGAGCTTGTTAGTTGTGCTAGGGTGTGAGGTTGGAATTGATTATTTATTTGCTAGCATACTTAAAGTCACCATTGGGATCTTCTTTCATAGAAAAGTTTGTTATGGAATAAGCCACACACAAACAATGGCAAGAAAAAACAACCACAAACAAGAAAACATGATGCAAATTTATGTGGTTCGACAAGTTCCCTACGTCCATAGCTCAAACCAATTCCACTATACTGAAAGAATAGAGGGGTATGATACGACTGTTGTGAAGGCATCAATATATATATATGCTAGGGTTTACATCACCAAATTTCAGTTCAATTCACCTCGGGGCTCACATCAGCAAGTCGACCTAACATCTGATGGTGTGACTGAAAACATTCCAGAGACTTGAGCATCAATGGTCCGATCTACCCAAGGAATGACCGGTCAACTGATCAATAGTTGGATCTGCATCCCCAATACTAATTGGGCTCCACAAACCCAACAAAGTTGAATTCTATTAAGTTATGAGTTTGAGGGTATTTTTGTACTTATCTACTTATGAATACATAAGATTAGTGAGGATAACCCTAATTTTGGAATTTTGGGTTGTGCCTCTTTCCTGTGCATTCTCTCTCGTCTTTTTCTCTTCTCTCTTGACTCTTAAACATCATCATACAATTTTAACTAACTCGAAATTTGTAAAAATAATTGATGTATTATTGATTGATGTTTTTGTGTTGTATATATTACAATTACAAGGATTCCTATTATATAGGAGTGTGTTTGGGAGTAAGTGGAGAGTAGGTGAAGTGGAGGTGGTAGTGGTGTAGTGGGTTAGGTTTAGTGGAGTAGGTGAGTTAAGTGGAGGTGGTAGTGGTGTAGTGTGTTAGGTTTAGTGGAGTAGGTGAGGTGGTAGTGGTGGTAGGTTTATGGTAAATTCTAACAAAATTCGTGTCAAACAGGTTTGCAAGGATGTAATACTTGTCAAGTGGTTGGGATTTATTAGCACAATATACCAAACCTTCCAACTTAACTTTGCCTATTCTCCCTATTCTAGCTACCATTGAAAAATAAATAGATAAATAATAATAAAAAAAATGGCCTAGAGAAGCTCCAGTGAGCTTTCCTTATGAGGAGGATTTATGGGTGAGTTTAAGAGGCACTTAGTGGAGTGGAATGAGCTATGCTCAGTTAAGAGAAGCATGTTCAGGGTATAAAATCTTAGGCTTTTAAAAACAATTTGTTGTGAATATGGCTTTGGAGGTTTGTAATTTCCACCTCTTACAGATGCAAACCTTGTGAGCATGCATATCTAGAATTATAATTACCACTAGGTCCTATTGAGTGAACATATTTACTCATAAATCCTTAGTGATTTTTTTTTATATATATACTTATTTGCCCATTGTTTTGATAATGAGAAAATTTTGAGACTTTTTAGATGTGTTGTGTTCGTGGAATGATTATTTGGTACTAGTAATCATACTGATAAATTTATCAAAATGATAAATGATTAGAATATTTTGGTTTTTCTTTATGAGTTTTGATTTGTTTTTAGTTTATTTGTGTTAGTTTGTTTTGAAATATTTGAATTATATATATAAATTTAAATTGATAAATTTATCATTGAAAGTTGGAGCAGAACTTTTTCATAAATTAGTCCGGTCCACAGGATTTGCTTGTAACTGCCCCAAATATTTATGGGTGTCTTTAGTGAAGGGCATTTACATTATTTCTAGGTGTTTTAAGCCTGGAGCGGCCTTGCTGAGCCTATGTAAGGATTTTTTTTGGGTCTTTGGGGTGTTTATGTTATATATGTAATATTTTTGATGTGTTAGACATTGTCTTTTGGAGGGTTTATATGGATGTTTTGACTTGACTTCCCGAAAAAGCCTCTTAACTTTCTATCAAACGGGGTTGATTTGCAGAGAAAGGGACTTTTTGCATAAGAAAATACAGTTTAAGCTGAAAGCTCTCAAACCAGCTAGGATTTGCATTGAAGATTTGGAGGCTAGAATTGAGGATTCAACCCCGTGGCGCCTACCAATCCCTCCACCACTGCAGTATGCACAAAGATGGTAGCATCTAAGCCACTATTTTCCTTTCTGTCCAGATCTAGAAGACTATCAGATTCAGATGTTAGCTACTAGTCTATGTTGGGAGATGGAACTTCGTTGTTTGGAGGCTTACAACCTTCTAAATCACCAAAGCCTGTTCTATTTCCCGAGTTGTGAAGTGCCCAAAATTCACTCTGTAGGATTTTTTGCTGCAACTATTCACCCGCTACTTTTTTTTTTTTTTTTTTTTTTTTTTTTTGTGTCAGTTTGCCATGGTAAGGAATAGTTTGTGAATGAAAATTGAGAAGGATTCAAGGTTGTTTTGATATCTAATTTGATGATCTTACAGAAAAAACAATTACAGTATGTAGTATAGATGCAGCTTTACACATAAATATTTGTACACACTGGCTCTATAAAAAAACTTATGTATAAAGAGGTTTGATAGTAATTAAAGCATACCCCAAATATGTTATTGTACTCCTCTAGTAGAGTTATTACAATGGCCTGAGCATGGTTAGCTGCAGCAGCTGCTTGCAGAAGTTGAATAGAACCATCACCACCCACATCAAAGTCATGTTCAAGTTCACAGTCACCAGACAGAAGGGGACGAAGAAGTAAGGGTGCCATACAAGCTGCTACAGCTGAGGAGCTCATTCGATTCACAGCCTTGTGAGAAGCCACAGTTTGCATCATCATAAGAATTCTGAAAACAAAGGAGAAATGAATGAAGTAAATATCTGAAAAATGCAACTAAATGCTGAAGCAACTAAAGAAAGGAGAGTAAACAAAACCATTATTTTATTTTATTTAAAAAAAGAAAGAAAAAAAGCATGGCGTTAGTTACGTATTTTCCCAATAAGTGCTTCTCAATCCAAATGAACCCTTAACACACAATTATTAACTGAATTAATGAGAATATCCAGCATCCCTTTTTTATAAGTAAAATAATATTAGAAAAACTGCTATGGATGAGAGCCACCCTTTTACAAAGGAAAACGCACACACACACATACACATAGAACCTCCAAAACCATAAAACCCTCACAAACTGTTAAGTTATGAGTTGAGGGTATTTTTTGTATTTATTTGCTTATATAAATACATGTGATAAGAGATGAAAACCCTAATTTTGGGTGTGCCTCTGTTCTTGAAAATTACTCTCTCTCGTCTTCTTTTTCTTCCTCTCTTCACTTTTATTCTCCATACAATTCAAACTTGGTATCAGAGCCAAGAGCACTCGTGTTTCTTTTTCATTTTTTTTTTCTCTTTTTCAGCTCTTTTTCTTGTCTGTTTGAGCTTGATACTGACGACATATCAAAAAGAGTGGTCAAACTGAATCAAAAACAAGTATAACAGGAACAATATACTGACAACCAAAGTAAACATAAACAATACACAACATATTTTGATACAAGAAGGAAAATAACAAAACTAAACAAAAGTCATGTTATCAACTACCTCTGCAATAAGCGACGGTTTGGCTCTGGAAATGTTTCACATATAGCCTCACGCATAGCTGAGAGTCTCCTGCCACGATCAGTTCCTAACCATAAAGATGGAATAGTTAATTATGAAACAAAAAAAACAACAATTTAAAAGAACATTAATGTTAACTTATCCAAGATCCAAATACAGCATCATAAATGCTAAATTCATGTAGATTATGCCAGAACATCCCTAAAACCCTTGTCATTAGACAAGAAGAACTTTAGTTGATTCTCACATAAACAAATATGAAAAAGAGCCCAAAAATTCAGGATTTTCTTTTATACATAGTTAATGTAAATGGAAAATAGAAACACCAGGGCAGTGAGTACAGAAAAGTTTGCCTACTGCCTGAAGACTCAAATCACCTACGAAATCCACTAGTAGAAGAAGAAGAAAGATAAAGGAAGCTCAGCATCACAAGTTTCCACCTCAAGATAGACACTGCACATCATATGACTGAAAATTATTTCAAAAACTGAACATCAAACATAGTGATGTGGCTTTCCAAGCATACCTGGCTCTCCTATCAGCACAAACCCCTATGAACTCCCAAACAGACTCATTAACCAATCCTGGTGTGATCTACTAATATCCACAAGTGAAATTATAGCAAGTTTGTGGTTCCCTCCACTAAAAACTTGGGCCTCCTCGCCAGAAAGTGCCTTATAACATGATTCCAATCCAAACTTGCTATTACTGGCACCATTCTATCGCAAAGCATCCTCTGACCTTCCCCAACATATATCCAATAAAGCACCTTAAAGAAGATATCTATTGCCTCCAACTCCGGACCCTGTATTGCCCTTATGAAGCCAAACTTCTGAATCACTTGAGTCCCAAAGAACATCATATAGTAAGTTATTGATTGACCCTATAAAAGGTTGAGTATCAATCTTGTGAATGTGATCTCCCCAGGTCCCAGACCAAGTGTCATGCTAAAAAACTCATAAACTAACTGATCCATTCCAACCATAAAGAAAAAGAATTTTTAGAAATCCCCTCACTCACCGCCAAAAGATCTTTACTTCACTATTCAACCACCCAAACCACTGTCATATATTCCCTCCAACACTCTCCTCTACAAACTTATCACCTTTCATTGCATATCAACAAAACACCAAAAAGATAGGTTCATTAGCCTCAGCCTCCTCATACTCAAACGCCCCCACCCCCTCCCTCCCTCCAAGTCTTCAAAGAATTGACGCAACATCCCATCTAATCAAATGGTACGTAAATTCCTCCCCCATACCACACATGAAAAAGGAACTATAGATATCAAATAAGAGAATTTATAGGGTCCTTTCAAAAGTGTAAGTGTGAAAGTTAGTTTCTTTAAAGAAAAGTCCACATTGATACCACTACTTGCTTTCAATCATGATACATTTTTCTTAAATGTAAAACTCTTTTCTAAAGACTGAAACAAATGCATGAGCACCATGCCACCCATCTACTAGATATTATTATAGTTAAATAAAAATGTTAAGACAGGAATATGGCCAATAAGATATAGGTCCAACCAAGAGAAATTACAGAGAAAATGTGGGGAAGCCAATATGATGGTTCAGTCTTGAGTGAGAAAGAAAATAAAAGTCACCAGCAAAGATGACTAATTCAAGTTAGACAAACCCCGAATATACATGTGGTGTGTTGAACACCCTTTCGGTGATCCCCTGTTTTTAAGCTTTGTTTTTGTTATATCTTTTTGTTTTTCTGATTGTATAAAGAGAGGATATATATTGAGTTAGAGCAATCATGTTAAGCTGAAACTTCAGTTCAATATCCAAACGCCAACAACAAAGATTTCACAAGTTTGTGATGAATTATCACATATGTACCAAATTGTAGATTTTGACTGAAATTAAATTTTGGTCACTTGGCAAGAGGAACACCACAGTTTTACAGTTTTGAAACAATGATGCCACATGCCTAATGATAGTGTTCATAAATTATAGGTCCATATCACAGGTATGGAGCCCTAGCATGACAAAACACATGAATAAAAACCTCAAAACATACATTGTTAAAATCCACCTACTCTCCACTTACTTCACCCACTTAAACCTACTCCACTAAACCTAACCCACTACACCACTACCACATCACCTACTCCACTAAACCTAACCCACTAAATCCACATACTCTCCACCTACTTCACCCACTTAAACCTATTCCACTAAACCTAACCCACTACACCACTACCACCTCCACTTCACCTACTCCTTACCTACTACACACTCACCCTCTTCTATATATAGGAATCATGAATCATTGTAATAGATATCAATATATGAATCAATAATAATACATACAATTTATTCTCTCTCTTTCTCTATACATTATTTCTAACATACATATATACACATGTATGCTTTTGTACATGTACATTTGCATTAGTGACACTATGACATACATAAGAAATCTATTACATGTGGTTTGAACCATGAAAATCAGTCCCCACAAGCATATACTAGAAGGGGAGGAGGGGGGTCAACGTGTGTAACATAACTAAAATGATCCAATAAGAACCTCAAAAATCTACAAATTTTACTTTCTTCAACAAAATTTAAAATTTATTATTCTTTTGAGACTGAATTACACCCGTAATTTTTTTTAATTAACTCAGATTCATGTATTTTAATTTAGTTGATCCAAGAGGAATAATGCAATTTGAACAACCAAATGAGCCCCATATACTTTTATATCTGTATAATAGTGCCCCATCAAATGGGGGCTAAAACTAGGCGTAGTTTTTTTTTTTGTTTTTTTCCCTGTCTGATAGTGCCAATGAAAACCAAATACAATAAAAATAATTTTAATGATAGACATCCAAACCATGGCCGGACATTAGTGGGATAAATAAAATAACTATTGCAAAACATAATTTAATTTGTTTGTTGATATAAGTTCATAAATCTATCAAAACACAAAAACTGGATTAGCTTGAACCTCATTAATTTACACCCTCCCATAGAAAAACCAAGGGTTGGGATTATACTTGATAATTCATCTGAAAATTGAATAGTGGAGCACGTTCTGTACAGCTATGAAGCACTGACACTTCAAAACAAGTACACCATAGCAATGTCAGACACGTGGTATGTCACTTTATTTAATTAATTTGTTTTCAACGGAAACATTAGGGACACATCAACCAGTTTTTTCCCCCCCTCTTCTTTAGTGCTTTTGATGTATGTTGGATTTTGAATGTTTATTACTTTTTGCTTAGATGTAAATAATTAATAGATCACCCATAAAAAAAAGACGTAAACGATAAGAGTTAACTTAAGAGTGGGGGTTTTTTATATTGAATTATTGTTAGGTTTTTGCTAATTTGGATTGTTTGTGGATATAATATTAATCTACATAGAAAATAAAAATATATTTAAGAAAATTACTGCCATATCCGTGGGCCCCCTTTTTTTTTAAATCTCTGTGCTCCCGTGTCCAAACAGAAGCCTAATGTGAAAATGGATTTTGACATGCCGAGGACAATACATTTTCCGGAAGCATCTCAACAAGTAATACAAAAAACAGATTCAATTGAAACAAACCCCAATGGAAACTTACGACATGCTTCTAGTAGCGCATTGCAGCAAGATGCAGGGACTGGAGATGATGGTAACTCCCGAATAAAATACTGGAACAATGCCATAGAAGAAATAGTAAATATATAGTATCATTGGTTCCAAAAACATTGTCACTGATGAGGAATTTTTACATTTCCCTCTGGTTATAGGAGATACCTTGACGCAATCAGCAATTACATGTGCATCCTCCCCTGGAGAAAAGTCATTTTTTCCTGAATAACAAAATAGGACCAAAACAGTTAAATCATGTGAATAACTCAAAACTAATATATATGTATGCATATATAAACTACAAAATAAATCTGAGTTCCCTTTCAAAAATAATTATTCAATAAATACTATCCTCCAACAACAAAAAATAAAAATACAAATAAAAAATAAAATGCAAATTCCTCATGCAAAACAAAAAGGCAATTGATCAGTAACCATATTTTCACTACCCACATCACCCAAGATTGGTCATTCACAGAATACAAAAGGTAGACAATTGATAAAAACAAAAAATGACTTGCGTAAACACATTTGATGTGCCACTTTTGGAGAGAGAGAGAGAGAGAAGGATCCTAGAAACAACCAAAAGTAACTACAGTTCAAATTTATTTATTTATTTATTTTGGTTTCATTTTCATGTTTGAAAACTCATTCGTGAAAATGACAACAAACCGGCAGCAGTCTGATATTTTAATAATTACCTCATGTACGGAACCCAACCACAAAAAGACACTACCTAAAATAGTTTAAGTAACGATGAAAAATAGACATGTAATCATGAACAACAGTGGATCCAAGCAAACCAACCCTGCTCATATTCTCGAATTCGACGTTCAACATCATCAACATCTGCAGCTTGCCGCAAAATCCCCTCTACTTTGACTCCTGGAACATTACTGTCAAATGATCAGAGACAAAAAAGGAAACATGTAAACATAGATACAAACAAGTAGATATTTCTATGTAGCAAGTTATTAAGGGAGGATAATACATGGGTTAGTCCTAGTGAATTCAAACATACCCTTTGGTCAAGGTTTCATCTTGATATTTTTTTTAGGCTAAAGTTGGAGTGATACAAAACAAGACCAGATCGAAAACTACATTAAATACTGATGAGCCATAATGGGCCCTACAAGGATAGCTAGTACAGAACAAAGATCAGAATCAAAAACAATTCCACAACAGTTCATATATCAAGCAGGACATGTGAGTAAACAAGAAGATTTTGACATTTTCTCTTCTTTCTTTTGGGAGGTAGGGCATGTCATTTGACACTTTCCATTAAGCATTTTCCAGTACACAATTTCCTATTCATGTAGGCTAAGAAGCACGGACATTTTCAAGAAGGTAATGTCTCATGTCCAACACAAACATAACACGATACTTGTTGGACACTTCCTAACACTTAAAAACACATAAAATACATTACAAGTTATAATAAAGTAATTTGGAATCCAATGATAAAACAAAACAATGTAAATTTATACTATTATCCTATGAAGCATGGACACGGACACGGATATAGATACGGACACGGGATATGGTAATTTTCAAAAAATAGGGACACAGACACAGTGGGGGACAAGGCGATTTTTTTTTTTATTATTATAATTTTTTTTATTTTAATGCATATTAATTACTTTATTTATTTTTTAAATAATATGTTCTTATTAATTTTTTTATCTTATTTTATATTTCCTATGAAGCATGGACACGGACACGGATACGGATACGGATACGGGATACGGCAATTTTCAAAAAATGGGGACACAGACACAGTGGGGGACAAGGCGATTTTTTTTTTTATTATTATAATTTTTTTTATTTTAATGCATATTAATTACTTTATTTATTTTTTAAATAATATGTTCTTATTAATTTTTTTATCTTATTTTATATTATATATGTGTTTTTTTATTTATTAATATGTATAAATATATAAGATACCAAATATGTGTTTTTTTATTAATACATATAGTATAAGTATTATATCTTATATATATTATGAGTATTATATCTTATATATATTATGAGTATTATATCTTATATAAATAAGTATATCTCACATATAGTTATATATATAAGACAAAAGAAAGGGTGAGACAAAAAGGCAAAAAGGCGAGAGAGAGAGAGAGAGAGAGAGAGAAGACGAGAAGGCAAGAGACACGATCTGGTCGAAGACACGAGTGAGAGACGCAACTGGATGGAGGTCATCGAAATCGACTAGTTGGACTGGTTCGAAGGTCATCAAAGTCGATTGTTTTTTCTAGATCATCAAAGTCGACTGGTTCGAAGTCGCCGACCATGATCCTCTCGCTGACCAGGTTTCCTTTCTCTTCTCCTTTACTCTTCGTCTTCTCTTCCGTTTGTGTCCAAATTTGGACACGCGTGTCCAGATTTGGTGGACACACGTCATGTCTCCCCCGTGTCCCCCGCAAAAAAAAATGATTAAACTTGGCGTGTCCCGTACGTGTCTCTGGCATGTCCCCATGTCCAACACCGCCACGGCATTAAATTTGACATGTCCATGCTTCATAGCTATTATCCTCCTTTAGACTTTAAAAACTATTATTACACAATAATTTTTGAGCAACACATATTACACAATAATTGTTTATCCTCATATATGGCATATAATAAATATATAAAATTATATATTTTGCTTGTGTTTCTCACATGTCATGTCGTGTCGTGTCGTGTCCTATGTTTTTTGAAAATTTCCATGTCTGTGTGTTCGTGCTTCTTAGCTTGTAGGTTTTCCTTATCCAAATTTTCCAATCCAATTACTGCAAACTCTATGAAGAGACTATCAAACAGTATGAACATCCCAACATGAATCATATGAAAATTTTGTTAGATTGGAAATCAAATCATAGTATCATGTTGCAGTAACACTCCGTTTGGATCGTGAGATAAGAACAGAAAAGAAATGATTGGAGTTTCTCACCTAGGTGAAAAAAGAAAAGAAATTATTGTAGTTTATGACTTTCTTGTTTGGATAAACAATGACTTAAAGATGATACATGTTTTGTATTTAGAGGCTAGGTATTATAAATTTTTGGGTAAATTACACTGACACCCCCTGAAGTTTATGTTTATTACAATTCACCCCCTCACATTTGGAAAATTACACTAACCTCCCTGTTAATTTAATTTTATGTATGATGATCATTACGATGAGGGGGAAACTGTTATGAAACTTTAAATCTCATGGGGCAATCTGTAATGAAACTTTAAACCTCAGGGAGGGGGATGTAATTTCCAAAAGGGGAGGGGAAGAACTGTAATAAACATAAACTTCAGGGGGTGTCGATGTAATTTACCCTAAATTTTTTATAAAGAGTAATTTTGGTTTCTCACCAAATCTCACCACTTTTGGTGAGAAACAAAACTTAAGTTTTGTGTGATTTGTCTTTCTCACCATTTCTCTTCCTTTCTCACCATTACTCACCTCATTCATCATCCAAACAAGTGATTAAACCTCATTCTCTCCATTCCTTTTCTTTTCTCACCAAACCCGTCAATCCAAACATAGTCTAAAATCACTCAAAGCTCCTTATTCCCCCTATCATAATATATTTTGTCTTCTACTGTAAACAGAACACTTCGATTTACTTGGCAATGGTGCTTATATGAAAAGGGTTGCCTATATATTGAGGTTGCATATAGACTAACAGTGCTAAAATTAAATAATAATGCATCCATAAGTAGTGGAACAGGGAGAAACTTATCATGTCTGGTGCCTCTAACAATCCATCAAATAAGAACATTGTTTGATACTGATAAAGATCAGCTATTGGGCACAAAATATTTCATTTACAGAATTAAGAAACGCATCCCTTCTAAATTGTTTCCCCTCTTCTTCTAAAGAAAACTACAGTAAGAATTGCCAACTTGACATACACAACCTGATAGATCACAGAAGTCGCATGGCATAAAACCTTTAAATGTCAGTAAAAAGAGATATCTCACCATGCTCTTCCACAAACCTAAGGGCTTTCTCCAAGAAAGATGGGGTTCCATCTATATCTTCTAAAGCAAGTAAAACTGGTCGACCAATGACCAAGGATTTAACCAGCTGTTTCTCCTTCGCTAAAGAGAATAAATAAATAAAAAAAAAGGAAAAAGAGAAAGAAATTAGTTTATCAAGAAAGTTGAGAACAATGCATAGAGTGCGAGTTATGCAGGTTCAGAACAATAACCACGTCAACATATTAGGGGGAAAAAAACACGGATGTGCTATTTCATGCCATCAACAGAGCAGATTAAAAAAACACAACAGGTGAACCCAAAAGAGAGAAAGGGGGGAAAGTGTATCAAAATTACATACTAAAGGAACAGTCATATAAAATTTCTTCTGAACATAGGCAGTTATAAAATTGGTGTTCAAAAATGCAAAAGTTCAGATGTCAAAAAAAAAAAGAAAACTGGTGTCTTACAAAACAATTCAAGAAACAAAAGCGCAATCATATCCCCCAACCCCCAGCTACAAAAAGGTCTTGGCCTATACAGACCAAAATAAGGCACTAAAAGCCAATTGAAGCTAGGTTATATTGGAGGGACTGCTTTTATGAAACTAAGCCAGCAGTTCACAATAACTCACAGATGAAAACTAGGAAATAAAAGCCAGTTTAAGCCCCACACACACACACACACAACCAAAAAAAAAGAAAAAGCATACACTGTTCTACAGAACCATCAACTGCATCAGCCTGATCATTCCTGAATATGCCATTTTGTCCCATCACAAGAGTGGCACTTGGTGAATGTGCCAAAGCCTCCTCAAGTGCAGCCTTCCACTCATATAAATCCTCCAAAGTTTCAGCCTTCAGCACCAAAAGCTAATAATTAGCACATGACTACAGCAGGGGTAAATTTACATAAAAGGCCAGAGTCTTCTCATGTTGGCAATGATAATAACAATAATAATCTATGTTAACTCATCTAATTTATGAAATACCACTGCCGGACGCTCGACATTTGAGTAAAGGTCCGGCATGCTTAGCTAGACATGGACCAATCAATCATAGCAAAGTAGCCAAATTGGTGTTTACAGTGTAAAATAGCTCATGCTATGATAAAATGGAAAAAATGTTCAGTTATTTAATGTAAAATAGCTCATGTTATAATAAAATGGGAGTATTGTGTAGTTATTTAATGTAAAATAGCTCATGTTATGATAAAATGGGAGTATTGTGCGGTTATATACTTAAATTTGACTACTTAGCTGTGATTGATTGGTCCATGTCTAGCTAGGCATGAAAAATAAAGTAAGTATTTAAGAAATGTAATCTAGGTTTCCTCGTGTCCTAGGACATAAGAATTAAATAAATCCAATACGAAGACACATATGTACCCAACTCCAAGTAACATATATAATGATAAAAATAAAGCATCATTCTCCCTCCCACAATCCACGTTTGCTTTTACTTTTACCTGAAGGGTATTTAACTTAACCAAGTTTACTCCACTATTGCTCAATTTTTATCCTGCTTAATAAAATACTAGATCCACCAAGCTCTCACTAAGAGCCCCAATCACAGTGAACCCCCCCTCATATTCTCTTATATAAGGTCCAAAAGCCCTAATACTTACTACTAAAAGGGCTAGAAAATATAATGAGTTTGCAGTTCTACAATAAAATTTAGAGTTTTAAACATCTTAGTATCTGTGGGTGCCATTTTTTGTTGGGAGATAGTTTATGTAGTTGAGAGAGGGTGAGCATCCAAATATAAAGAGAAATTTTGGGAGTAGTTATGGTGGTAGAAGAAATTTGAACTACTGTGGACAGTGGGACTATAAGATATAAAGCTTTTAATTTTAATCCCAGATATAATGCTTTTAATACTTCATCCGTCTAAGTTCACAATAAGGTTGAATCGTATGATGATGACAGACCAAGCCACCAAACCCGGCCACCCAAACTTAATATATGTGTTATTTTTTAGAAGAGAAAAGTTAAGAGGTATGAGTGACATCTCACACTCTTTTATATTAACTCATTAGCATAATTACAGGAGCACTCTAAGGCACAAACAAAGATACTAAATATACGAAAGGATGAAATAGGAAATATTTCTATATTCTAACACTCCCCCTCAAGCTAGTGCGAAAATATCTCTCATGCACAGCTTGTTGAGAATGTCACAAAATGATTTATGCCCTAATCCTTCGGTGAGAACATCAGCCAGTTGGTCTCCAGATCTCACGAATGAAGTACATATAGTGCCACTAGTGAGCTTTTCTTTGATAAAATGCCTATCAATCTCCACATGTTTGGTCCTATCATGCTGAACCTGATTGTGAGCTATATTGATGGCTGCCTTGTCGTCACAGTATAGCCTCATTGAATCTGTCTGATGAATCCCCGAATCCCTCAAAAATAATTGAATCCATAAGAGCCCACACACACCCTGAGCCATAACTCTGAATTCAGCCTCTGCACTGGACCACGCAACTACATTTTGTTTCTTGTTTCTCCGAGTTACTAGATTTCCTCCAACAAAGGTACAATAGCCAGAGGTTGACCATCTATCAGTGACTGAGCCAGCCCAATCAGCATATGTATATGCCTCCACACTCAGATGACCATGTTTGGAGAAATAGAGACCCTTTCCCGGAGAAGACTTCAAGTACCGCAGAATCCGCATAACTGCATCTAAGTGACTTGCGCGTGAAGCATACATAAACTGACTAACCATACTCACAGCAATAGCAATGTCAGGACGCGAATGAGATAAGTAAATAAGCTTACCCACTAGCCTCTGGTACCTCCCCCTGTCTATAAGCTCGCCTCCTTGATCCTCACTAAGCTTCAGCCCAGGTTCTAGTGGTGTATCACAAGCTTTACTGCCAAGCATTCTAGTTTCTCTTAGCAAATCAAGCACATACTTTCTTTGACATATGAAGATGCCATCTTTGGACCGAGCAACCTCAATACCTAAAAAGTACTTCAAGCTGCCTAAGTCTTTGATTTCAAACTCATTGGCCAAATATTCCTTTAACCGAGGAACCTCCTCAACATCATCTCCTGTGAGTACAATATCATTGACATGGACAATAAGAGCTATCGTCGTACCATGGGAGGAGTGTTTCACAAACAAAGTATGGTCAGCTTGGCTCTGTTTGAAACCATATCGCAGCATGGCCTAAGTAAATCTCTCAAACCAAGCCTTAGGAAACTGTTTAAGGCCATAAAGTGACTTGCCTAGTCGGCACACTTTTCCTTTGGTTTTAACATCCTCAAAGCTTGGGAGAATGTCCATATACACTTCTTCTTCCAAATCACCATGAAGGAAAGCATTCTTCACATCAAATTGATAGAGAGGCTAGTCGAGATTGGAGGCAAGGGAGAGAAGGACTCTGACAGAGTTCATCTTAGCAACAAGTGCAAATGTCTCCTAGTAGTCTACTCCATAAGTCTGCGTAAAGCCCTTGGCCACCAATCTTGCCTTGTAACGTTCAATTGAACCATCGGCTTTATGCTTCACAGTGTACACCCACTTATATCCAACAGGTCATTTGCCCTTAGGTAACTCAGGCAATTTCCAAGTGCCATTTTTAGCAAGAGCACTCATCTCCTCCATCATGGCATGCTTCCACTCAGGAGTAGAAAGAGCATCCTGAAAATTAGAAGAAAGACTCATAGAAGAAATTTTAGACAAGAAAGCTTTATAGGAAGAAGACATATTAGTATAGGAGACAAAATGAGAAATAGGATGTTGAGTACACAACCTAACCCCCTTTGATTAGCAATGGGAACATCTAGATCAGAAAGAATAGAGTTACCTGGAGTTTCATTAGCAAAAGAGGATTCTGGACACTTAACAAAAGGAGAACATAGCAGTGGAGAATCTGAATTGGTCTCTTGTACCCAAGTAACTTGTTTTCTATCCTTGTCCCTGACATAAACTTTGTCATCTTTCACTATTGTTTCAGATTCAGACTCAACAGTCTGAATAGCTGAGTCACCTTTAACATACTACGCAATCACTAATGGGAGCGATACAGGTAGGGATACCGGAATCGCTTCACACCAAGGCTTTCCCTGAAGGGATGACTGGGGCACCGGTGAGGACAGAGAGAGAGAGAGATATTAAAGTCTTCACAGCAACCCAAACTGACGAGAATGAAAGACCAGCCACTGACGACTCCTTAACGTTTATCGACAGTTGGAGAAGAGAGGAAAGACACCCACGACTGGTCCTCCAACCTCCCGACAGACCATGGCTGAGAACAAGGAGGCCCTGACGAGCCCTAGGGTGCTACCGAAGCCCTAGGATGCTGCAGTTAGGACCCCCGACAGCCTAGCTGACTACGACAGGAAGAGTCGGAACCCTAGGAGGCTGCTACTGGTGTTGTAGTGGAGAAACAGGGATATGTAGCCGTTGTAGTGGTGCAACTGGTGGCTGCGACTGGTGTGATGATCTCGTGGGCTCTAGGGTTTCAGCGTGGCTCTGATACCATATTATTTTTTAGAGAGAAAAGTTAGAGATATGAGTGACATCTCACCCTCTTTTATATTAACTCATTAGCATAATTACAGGAGCACTCTAAGGCATAAATAAAGATACTAAATATACAAAAGGATGAAATAGGAAATATTTCTATATTCTAACAATATGGTGGTAGATCATGCCAACCAAGGCTTCTGATTTCAACAAGTTTATCTTGCTTGTTCTCATTGAAGTGTCAAAATCCCCTCCACCTTATCACTTCTTACCTTCTCTCCATTTCTCATCTAGGAAAATAAAATAAAAATAAAAAAATTTTAAAATATCCTTCAGAACCAAACATGCCTTCATTTCAATAATCCAGATAAACGAAAATGAAACAGATTGTGCTATGCTTGAAAAGATGTTCATGAATTTCCACCAAGTCATATTGCACAATGGAATCTAAAATGGTACTAATAAAATGGGTATTCAAGACATGTCATGAAAAATCATGATTCATTAATAACCCTTTACTAATCGCTGTCTGCTTTGATCATAGTATGAACTTCTCTCAAGTGATATTGAGTGACTTGCAAGTCACCTTTTCCATTAGATATTTAATTGTAAATTAGAATTGTAAAACTACACGAACACGTATGAAAATTATATATGTAGATGAATGTATAGATAAATAAAACAAGATCAAGATCGATTGAGAAAGTCCAAAAATCTGATAAAATGGAACTAAGTTTGGTGAAATTTTATTATCGTATCCAACAAATTTTAGCATGAACAAGACAAGACAAAAGAAGTCAAGAAAATCTTAAGGACTTTGCTAGGATCTGTTGAATATAGAAACTAGAATATTATGTTTAGAATAGGAATTAGAGTATTTTTATGTTGATTATAGGAATCTCTCTTCTTGTTTATACTGTTTCTTAAAATTGTATCATAAATATGTTATATATATATATGGCCTCTACCTCATTCAAAGGTAAGCCAAAACCATTCTTTTCATCCTTTTTGTATCAGAACTTGGTTGGGCCAGTGATTGGTGTGCCATTTGTCCAACTACTATATGTTGTGGTCTAGGAGGTTGTGTTGGAATGTGTTCCACTAAACCTGGAGTTGCCCCATCTGTATTGATTATAAGGTTGTAGTTTCCCTCTCCTTAAGACCTGGGTTTTAAGGAGAAATGTAATCTAGGCTTTTCAATTTGGTATCAAAGCAAGGTTCAGAAACCCTAGCCCTTCTCCTTCCTTCCTGTCGCCACTGCCCAACCTATTCTTCCCCTTCTTTCTCCTTCCTTAGGTGCCAATAGCCCTTTCTAGCCTCTCTACACCAGCCACCAGCCTTACCCGTCTCTTCTACACCACCCGACTGCCCCTCCT